CTTATAAGTTCCTCTTGACGGATATTGTAAGTTCCTTATTAATTATTTTATAGGCAATTTAGAGCACACAACTTATTTCAACACTCTCAAGAGACAAATGCCTGAAAGCCTCTTGATGATGCAGTTCCATTAGTAGTAGTCGCTAGTGCTTCATACACATCCATAACATATGACTATCAGCCATTTTTATGGTCCAGGATTAGGTTCACATAATAACTGATATATTAAATTAAACATTTTGTCTATATTGGTATCAGACTATACAATAAAATATGTATTTTATGAGCTATCAAAAACATAACTTGTAAAAGGTTCTTCTACCGTAAATAGTTGTGAGATCCATGTAATACCAAGGTCGTTAATTTATTCACTACTCATCATTACGTACTTGTAATTGGCTAACCTAACAACATCCTATAGTGAACATATCTATATTAAACATCGTTTATTTTAAATAAAGAAATTCAGGTTTCTACTTTCATCTACACCGAAGTTATAGGGAGGTCGAAAATGGCCTGCCCAGCGATTCTGTAACTCACTTTTCGAACTCACACAGCGGTTTTCGCATCGGCGGTCGCTCTCAAATCAGTCGTGAAGCAGTCATTTTATGATTTGGCATTCTGATAAACAATAAACTACAAGCTCCCACCTTTTTAGAAGTTACAGAATCGGAGGGCTGAACTCTTTCGAGATGTTACGGCTGTGCCGCTTTTTTGCCCGACTTGGCGAAGCGTGCCCCCAGAAAAAAGGCAAATAGGTAAAATAAACTAATTAACACTTGTTCCGATGGTGAAGGCAAATTTCCGAGGAACTTGCATTCTTAAAAATCTTACTGAGTCAGTAAAAGAAGGCCTCATCTCCTCAAACATATATAAGGTTGTAACGCCACTGGATCCTTATCATTCTTTAAAATAGTAGCCGGCGTTTGCTTCGATACAACCACTGAATAATAATACTCTTGGGACCTAACTGTAAATTGACTGTCGTTTATTAAAAAACGTGTTAGCGTCAATAAATCTGGCTCCGTGCATTTCCATTTCGATAGAAAATTCAATTTATCCAATGAATGAACTGCATCAAATACTATAAATAACTGCGATTTAAAGCTTAGTCGGGATTGCGATAGAAAAGCTATTAAGAAAATTCAATTTAAAATAGAAGTGTTTAAAAGTAATTAACGATAGATACTTTCCACTGTATGTACTTATTTTTAATTGAACAAATTTTGAAGAACAGTTCTTATACTCTATTTTCTACACAGCTTCTGTAGCTGCTGGATATATTTCCCTAAATTCTTCTTGCTGCAAGCAGTGGCATAAGTAGTTGCAGGACGAGTAACTAATAAATATATATATCTATATGTCTATAATAAAACCTCCAGTATGATTGATTCAATGATCGTCGGAATCGGATCGGAATACAAACTCTTAAAAACTATTTAAGGGCCTCTCTAGTAGATAGATTCGGTGGAACGGTATCCTTGCTTATATTATGGCGTAACTGGGCTGGAATAATCTTATAATATTTCTATTATAATCTAATGCATTTATCCAATGACAGCAGGTGTACATAAAAACTAATCCACATCTCTCACACAAACACAAAATCACACACACATACAGCAACATTTTATTTTAGGGGAACCTGACACACGTAGTCGACTTTTTGGGTCTAAGACATGTCAGTTTCCTCACGATGTTTTCCTTCACCGTTCGAGCAAATGTTAAATGCGCACATAGAAATAAAGTCCATTGGTGCACAGCCGGGGATTGAACCTACGACCTCAGGTATGAGAGTCGCACGCTGAAGCCACTAGGCCAACACTGCTCTTAACAAATATGATTTTTTTTGAGAAAAGACCCGACGGTATATTTTTCTTGTAAACCATTTTCGGTCAGATTACCCACCAATATTTTTGTCAGATTCAGAAAATATTCTTTCAGGATACCGAAATAAACCTACCCTAATTTTATTAAATAAATTTTTGAAAATGCATAAAAAATGTTTTTTTGCATTTTCAAAAATTCATCGTAACTTATCGTCACGCCGAAATCGTCAGTTTTTTTAAAGGGAGCTTCCTTGGGGCCTACTTAACCCCTTCCGAAAATCTGACGCGCTCGAGTAATTTTTTTTTTTTGCATTTTTGACTACTTTATGTGCCTACCCCCACCACGCAAACCGGCAGATTAGTATACCGTTGTTATCAGAGGCACTTGGGGCATACGTAGTATGAATATCTAACGCGCTCGAGAATGCCCAAGTAACTGTTTTTTTAACATATTTGAAAAACCGTACACGCCAAACCCACCGCTAAAATGGTTTTTATCATATGAGCTTTTCTTTTTGAAATTATTTAATCTTTGGATTTTGATAGGTCTCGACGGCGCCGTTGAATTACGCCATTTAGCAACCTCGCCTCCCTAACTATTAGTTTTGTTTCTTCTAAATAGAATTAAATTTTATTTATTTTAAGAGACAATCGTGAACAAGTAAACGAACTAATGGCAAACTAAGAATGAATTGTTGTGTTTTATTTCAACAGACTTCAGAAAGGAGGTATTTAGATTTGAATTTAATAATAAATTATTTATTTACGCTTTCAACTATGTAAGTGTATGTTCATCCACAAATTTTACTACTCATCAAGCGGTTTTCGCATCGGCGGTCGCTCTCAAATCGGTCGTGAAGCAGTCATTTTATGATTTGGCATTCTAAAAAGGTGGGAGCTTGTAGTTTATTGTTTATCAGAATGCCAAATCATAAAATGACTGCTTCACGACTGATTTGAGAGCGACCGCCGATGCGAAAACCGCTGTGTGGGTTCGAAAAGTGAGTTACAGAATCGCAGGGCTGAACTCTTTCGAGATGTTACGGCTGTGCCGCTTTTTTGCCCGACTTGGCGAAGCGTGCCCCCAGAAAAAAGGCAAATAGGTAAAATAAACTAATTAACACTTGTTCCGATGGTGAAGGCAAATTTCCGAGGAACTTGCATTCTTAAAAATCTTACTGAGTCAGTAAAAGAAGGCCTCATCTCCTCAAACATATATAAGGTTGTAACGCCACTGGATCCTTATCATTCTTTAAAATAGTAGCCGGCGTTTGCTTCGATACAACCACTGAATAATAATACTCTTGGGACCTAACTGTAAATTGACTGTCGTTTATTAAAAAACGTGTTAGCGTCAATAAATCTGGCTCCGTGCATTTCCATTTCGATAGAAAATTCAATTTATCCAATGAATGAACTGCATCAAATACTATAAATAACTGCGATTTAAAGCTTAGTCGGGATTGCGATAGAAAAGCTATTAAGAAAATTCAATTTAAAATAGAAGTGTTTAAAAGTAATTAACGATAGATACTTTCCACTGTATGTACTTATTTTTAATTGAACAAATTTTGAAGAACAGTTCTTATACTCTATTTTCTACACAGCTTCTGTAGCTGCTGGATATATTTCCCTAAATTCTTCTTGCTGCAAGCAGTGGCATAAGTAGTTGCAGGACGAGTAACTAATAAATATATATATCTATATGTCTATAATAAAACCTCCAGTATGATTGATTCAATGATCGTCGGAATCGGATCGGAATACAAACTCTTAAAAACTATTTAAGGGCCTCTCTAGTAGATAGATTCGGTGGAACGGTATCCTTGCTTATATTATGGCGTAACTGGGCTGGAATAATCTTATAATATTTCTATTATAATCTAATGCATTTATCCAATGACAGCAGGTGTACATAAAAACTAATCCACATCTCTCACACAAACACAAAATCACACACACATACAGCAACATTTTATTTTAGGGTAACCTGACACACGTAGTCGACTTTTTGGGTCTAAGACATGTCAGTTTCCTCACGATGTTTTCCTTCACCGTTCGAGCAAATGTTAAATGCGCACATAGAAATAAAGTCCATTGGTGCACAGCCGGGGATTGAACCTACGACCTCAGGTATGAGAGTCGCACGCTGAAGCCACTAGGCCAACACTGCTCTTAACAAATATGATTTTTTTTGAGAAAAGACCCGACGGTATATTTTTCTTGTAAACCATTTTCGGTCAGATTACCCACCAATATTTTTGTCAGATTCAGAAAATATTCTTTCAGGATACCGAAATAAACCTACCCTAATTTTATTAAATAAATTTTTGAAAATGCATAAAAAATGTTTTTTTGCATTTTCAAAAATTCATCGTAACTTATCGTCACGCCGAAATCGTCAGTTTTTTTAAAGGGAGCTTCCTTGGGGCCTACTTAACCCCTTCCGAAAATCTGACGCGCTCGAGTAATTTTTTTTTTTGCATTTTTGACTACTTTATGTGCCTACCCCCACCACGCAAACCGGCAGATTAGTATACCGTTGTTATCAGAGGCACTTGGGGCATACGTAGTATGAATATCTAACGCGCTCGAGAATGCCCAAGTAACTGTTTTTTTAACATATTTGAAAAACCGTACACGCCAAACCCACCGCTAAAATGGTTTTTATCATATGAGCTTTTCTTTTTGAAATTATTTAATCTTTGATTTTGATAGGTCTCGACGGCGCCGTTGAATTACGCCATTTAGCAACCTCGCCTCCCTAACTATTAGTTTTGTTTCTTCTAAATAGAATTAAATTTTATTTATTTTAAGAGACAATCGTGAACAAGTAAACGAACTAATGACAAACTAAGAATTAATTGTTGTGTTTTATTTAAACAGACTTCAGAAAGGAGGTACTTAGATTTGAATTTAATAATAAATTATTTATTTACGCTTTCAACTATGTAAGTGTATGTTCATCCACAAATTTTACGAAAGCAACTAATATTGCGATGGCCTTTTTAATTTAAATCAGGTATATTTCAAATTAGGGTCAGGTCATCAATCAGTCAGAATCCGTTTTCACTTCACAGGTTAAAGTTTTTAAGTACTTTTCCTTATTACTGATTACTTAACTTTCACAATTCTAGTCTATATTACAAACCATCTTAACCTATAAACTAACCTGCCTCTCACCAGACTCAGCCATATCCACCTTATTCCCCACCACAACGATTGGAACAGCCGTGCTCTCCTTGGTCTCGTGTATCTGGTCTCTCAAAGCCCGCACTTCAGCGAAACTATCCAAATCAGTTATGTCATAGACAAGAATGAAAGCATCCGCCGATTGCATGGACAGGGCGCGCATCGCTGGAAACTCGTACGCCCCAGATGTGTCCAAAATGTCTAAAGTTAGTCTAACTCCCGCCACGTTGAAGTCGCCATGATGCATTTCCTCAATTGTCCTTTTGTACTTGGGCGAAAATGTCCCGTACAGGAATTGGGATATCAGAGACGATTTTCCAACTTTCGCCGCTCCTAAGACAACGATCTTGTGCCGGACAGCGTTGTTTGTTAAGTTGCTATTGCTGCCTGATGTGTGTTCCACTTTTTCTGGTCTGTAAAAAAATGATAACAGTTTTAAATGCGTTTTTATTAATATTATTTAAATTCCGCCATAGATCTTCTTAACATAAAATTAATTTTGGTAATTTTGTAGCTAAAAAGCACCCTTGTGTAATTAAGCAGAACCGTAACTAATAAACCCTGAGGTCGTGGGTTCAAACCAATCAATAGCGGATCTAGCAGTGATACTGTTACAGAACCTAAGATTTTTCCTGATTTATTCCTTACTGATAAGGGTGGCTCATAAACCACCTGGGCCAAACCCCACGGCATCCCTTCACAAATAACTATTTGGAAACTGTTTCGTTGAAGAAAATTTCGTTGTTCCACAATTTAGCGTTTTTAACGCAGTTTTTGTCGCCCAGCCCAGCCCAAATATGTGGAACCAGCTGTCCCACATATTTGGGCTTATTTCTTCAAGGACCCAAATATGTGGCCCTTGAAGAAATAAGCGTACTAATTCTAAAAGGTTACGCACTCGTAAGCCCTCTGGCATTGAGAGTGTCCATGGGTGGCGGTATCACTTCACAGTTTAAATCCGTCATAAAATATCATGATTCTTAGTCAATTCTTAACCAAGAATAAACGACTTTAATTGTTACAATTCGTTAAAATTGTGTTTTCTTTAAATGTTAAAGTTCTTAAGTGAGCTTTAAGCGCTGAAAGTTCCTGGAAAAATAAAAGTTTTTCTAAATTGCCTTGTTGCCTGCATGTCTGGGAAATGGGAACTAACGGTAAAATTCGCAACATCCGTGGATGAAAGTGAACCATCTGCTTGCATTAAAACAATTACCAGTAAAATATGCTCTACGTACTTTAAACGTATTCATTACCTAAGATTCATATATTATATATATATATATATTCTAATGAACGAGTTAACTTGAGCATACGCCTCTCAACCCTGAAATCCTGTGATTGAATGATGAATCAGTGATGAGGACCAAAGGACGGTGAAGGAAATCATCGGATGACCCATAATTCGACGGCATTTGTCAGATATAGTAGATCGCCTATTAAGAAAATAAAATGATTACTAAAACAATGCCAAAACTTAGAGGTTGTAGCACAATTGGTTTTTATGGAATTACAGGTGAAAATCACACACTATTTTGGTTGCCATTTTTAATCATTCGTAAAAATACTATAAGATTTAAAATTAATACTGGCTCTTCAAACATGTCTATTCAAATTAATTAAAACAAAATTTTGAATGAAAACATAATTAGGCAGACAACATTTGAATATAAAATATTAGGGTATTATGTCGTAAATCTTTGGTAATGTAATTTTTAAACATTGTCATGCTAATTTAAAAACAATGTATCACAACAGTGAAAACAATTTACAGTATAAATGTGCTCATGTGTGTATGTGTAGTTTGTTTTAATTTTTGGAGAAATCTCGATAGGTATCTTTTACTTAAGAGATTACCCAAATCTAACAATTATATAGTACATATACATAGTTATAACAAATAAACACATTTTTATTTATGAAAAAAAAATGCACAATCAGCCATACAAAAATAGGCAAATTAAGTGAGGGCCAGCGGTGGATTCCAAAAAAAACCAAAATATATTAATATTACTTTAATTAATTACTTTTACAAATAATAAACTTAACTAAATACAATTATTTAATCGGCCCGATATTAGGTGCACGATAAATATATTATATAATAAACTTAACTACTTGAGACTTGACCGGTCCGATATGAGGTATCCGATCAAAAAGCTGTTGGTTCTCTTGTCCCTTTCCTTATATATAGCGTAGTTTCGTAAGAGGTGACTTGTATTGGGTATGCGGGGCAAAGGGAGTGCAATGAATATGTAACATCTCCCCCGTAAGATGAGCAACTATTTGCTATTGATGTCTATAGCAAAAGTTGCGGCTCGAAGTTCTTGCGCAGACATGTTCTTATTATCCGTTTTTGAAATCGGCTTCGAAGATGTATTTCGGCGATATCGGAGTACGAAGAAAAGTACAGCTGCGCCCAGGAGTGTGGTCATAGCGAAGTACAAAGGAATCGTTGTGTGGTATATTATGTTTGATGAATCATATGTTTCCGCCGGTGCTTTCATTGTAATTCCATTTTGCATATTGTGTAACTTCGTGAGATCGATTGAATTAAGTTGGACACCTGGTTGATTTTGTTGAATGATGTTGTCCATTCGAGGAAAATTAATGATTTCGACACCGCTTCCTTTAACTCGGTCGTCGATGTTGGTGGCCGTAATTTCTGAGGATTTTAACATACATGATTTAGGTATTGTTGCGAAATAGCTGCCATGAAGTATTTCATATTTTTCGTGGGAACAGACGAGTTGAACTTTTGTAGGTTTTGGGAATGATATTATATAATGCTGACTGTCTAGTTCCGTAAGAGCTTCTTTATACATAGTAATAGGCGTTGAGGAACATGATTTGTCTATTTCTTGAGAATGAATAATTTCGTAGATGCAGTCCTTTTTGGTCTTCATTTGATGACGTAGTTTTTGCTCGCATATGTGCCACCTGTTGATCTTCGGACATTCTGTCTCTATGTACACAAATTCTTTAGTATTAGTTGCTACATATGGATAGGACGGGATAATTACCTGAGAATGTATATTAGGTACAGGACACAATCGATAAAGTTGGAATATTGAAGGTAAGGTAATAGGAAAGCTAAGGACAACCACTATTTTCCTGTCTATATAATATGAACCTAAGCTAATTATATCATAAAAGTTTCTTATCTCCAAATCTAAAATTTGATCTGTGCCATACAGATTTTTTAATTTTCTTAACATTATTTTTAAATCATTAATATTTAATATAGAATGGTGCAAAGACATAGTGCGACTAAAAGCTAATATATTTTCTATTCTAATTATCTCATTATATAATTCCTGCACGTTATCGCTTATAATGTTGAATATTAGCGACAGGCGGGAGTATCGAATTACGCTTTGATTGTCCGAGTTAGACATGTTTATTATATAGTTAAGGGCTTTACTTAATTTTATTTGATTATCTGTTAAATTATTCAATACTTGAGTTTGTTGTATGCTATATTCTTTAAAAAGTGAAATATGTTGATTAAAACTAGAACTTAATTCTTTATTATTCGATTTTAAAATATGAATAGCTGTCTCATATCTCAGAGCGTCATTATGATCGAGATTCCCAGAAATAAACTTTATAAGAGTACCCAATGGATTAATGATGCCTCGTTTAACCCTGGAGTCGGGTTCGAATGATTTTAACTGTAACATAACTTTATTTAATTTATTATTAATATAGTCGGTTTGGCTCTTGAAACGTAATGAGTAACCGTTCGGTAGTCTATGAATAGTTTCAGTCAATTTTGTCTGCAAGTCAAGTACTTGTTGTTCTATTAGGTCTATGTTAATGTCTTTCAGGAAAACATGATGGTGAGAAATGATTTTAGTATCTCCTAATTTAAAGGGAAATAAGCCAGGTCCATTGTCAAGGCTGTCAAGTCGAATTTCTTGCGCTTGGGCTAGGGTTGTCAGAGTCAGGATTAGGTACATATGCATTTCGACGATGGTGGCACCTTTTGTCATCGATTTCTGGATGCGCCGTGTGTGGTCCGCTGTCCTCGGTTCTTGTGAATCGTCGATTAAAACTTGGAAGTCTATTAGTTCGCGTACTCTACGTAGGCGATCTACGGAGTATATTACTTAGTACGCGCACTGACTCGACGATCCTACCGACTGCGCCAATTAAGTGAGGGCCAGCGGTGGATTCCAAAAAAAACCAAAATATATTAATATTACTTTAATTAATTACTTTTACAAATAATAAACTTAACTAAATACAATTATTTAATCGGCCCGATATTAGGTGCACGATAAATATATTATATAATAAACTTAACTACTTGAGACTTGACCGGTCCGATATGAGGTATCCGATCAAAAAGCTGTTGGTTCTCTTGTCCCTTTCCTTATATATAGCGTAGTTTCGTAAGAGGTGACTTGTATTGGGTATGCGGGGCAAAGGGAGTGCAATGAATATGTAATAGGCAAGTAAATGTAATATTTTATTTACAATCAAGTATACAGTATTTACAATAATAAAAAAAATATTATACAAGCTAATGCTACAATAAAAATTCGTGGAGAAATTGAATCTCTTCTTGAAGTTCGTTGTTTTAAAAAGGCCGTGTTGGCTCAGTGGTTTAAGCATGCAAGTCTCTATTGTATTCAATACGTCGTGCGTTCGAATCATGGCTGTATACCGATTGACTTTTCTTTCTTTGTTGAGTTTAAAACTCTTGTGTAATGAAACGGCGACCCAATAAGCGGCGACATAAGTCAGGTACACTAAGAGAATACTGCTCCAAAATAATTAATAACATTACAGAAAAATAATATTATTATCTAGGAAAACACTTGATATGTTCGTGTCTGCGAATCTGGAGAAATCATCAAGTCTGATTTTAAAGAAGATGCTCTAATTAAATTTTCTGGCAGCCTATTTTAGCCAATACTAACTTTGGGCTAAAGTTCTTTAGGGAATTTGTGTGATATAACACTACAAAATAAATTAATAAAAGCACTATTTAGATACAATTTTTTTACACAGACTAATAAAATTGACCATCAAACCAAAATTATGACGATAAACCACTATATGTTTATAGCACCTGTACCTTAATTTAAAAAAATAACTCTCTCCATAGTTGCTTATCATTTAAAAAATCAATCACACCTCTACACGCAATACTCGAGCGAGTTTGCTTATCCTGCCGAAGCCGCGTACTAATTATTTGAAGAAGTCTATTAAGTATGAGGGTGTGCAATTATTTAATCAATTACCGTCTAAAATTTGTAATATTAGCGCGTTTAACCAATTCAAAAGGGCATTAAAGATACATATCTACTAAAATTAGAACGGCTGATGGTGACGTGTATCTCGTTCGTATATACATATTAAGTTTCTCATGTAAGTAAAACACATTCTTTTTGTAATGAGAAATAAAATTCTGTAAACATATGACTTTTCAGTTTCACTTAACACCTTTAATGCGTTACGGGAAGTATTTAGTCGTATTTAAGTTTCAAACTGTGCGTCAGTCAGTTGTCCTTGTTTCGCGCACGGTGCGGAGATAGAATGTCTATGTTTTCGAGCATGTATAAAACAGATAGATATATTCCTGATATTCTTGCTTCAAGTGTGTTCAGTTTTGCAAGAAAAAATGTATGAAATATCTTGTCGTAAAACTTATTAAATT